CACAAAAATCACAAACATTAAAGCCTAGCTCAGGCTAAAACAGACTACCTATGAACTAATGTAAAATTTTGTATAATAATTAAGTTCTCATAACGCTTTTATGATCTTATCTTCTCTTATTTAATGAATAAACTATTTATTTATTACTTTGAGGTCTCACTGTGCGCGTGGACGCACATGGTGACACACGAACCAAACACATAGCTCTATTCAACGCTGTGCGTTCGATTTGCTACTTCACTTAAGCAAGCATCGTTTGTGAATACGGGCGAGTGTTTTTGCTATGCCTTTGTGGTTATTGGTTTACAACGGTTTCTGTGACTGTTGTTAGTTTAGGCTTTTTGGGCATTTTCTTTTTAACTACCTACTAACTTCTCATTCTATATTGTAATCTTCTCCAAAAATGTAGAGCATCATAAAATAATAAGAATGGGAGTCCTCCCACATTCATTTCAATCATTCATTATGTCCATTATGCATGTATTTTCTTAGAATATAGAACCACTCCACTTGTAAGAAAGAAAGTACACAATGGTTAATGTGTACGTTGGGTTTATACTTGTACTAATCACAAAACAAAAGGACATCTAATAAAATCATTAATCATTTCATGCGTAGAGGTGCATTGCTGAACATAATGCTGTGTTATTGATCTTCAGCGAAACTGTTACGACTGCAAGCAAGCTGCAGCTGCATTGGACGTAAGTAGGTATAAATTTGTTCTAGTATTCGTATTTTTATACAACCCGTAAAGGAAAACCACTACGCAAACACAGGGTGTTCTCATTCCAATGATGTTGTCATTTCCTTACATAAAGGCACCAAGAACTTTAATTACTTATCATGTTCTAGAAAGTGAGATATTAGGAAATCTGTATACGCACACTAATTCACGCGTGTGTTACACACAACGCCAATGTGTAAGTATCGGTGTTACACGGTGATATACTGTAACATAATTATTCCGTTACACTCCAAATACGCCATTTCAGTATGCTCGAAGGTACTAATGAAGTTCACTATAAGTATCATAGAGGTTTCGCGATCGTTTTTTTCCACTAGAATTGAATTTATAGCGTTACGATCGAGAACCATCTATCTTTACCAAAGTGCATTTGACGATAGAGACACATCAAGGATAGATAGATCTACGATCCAATTACTAGATGCAGCAATACCTAGTCAACGTCTTGCTCAAGCAAATATCGTTCGCATGAGCTTAGAAAAGAACTTAGTATAATTAAGGCCCAGAGTTGACCGAGGATAGAGCGAGAAGATCAGGCATTCTACGCGCGTAATGGGGAGCCTAAATTCAGAGCACTTAAGCCCGTTTTCACTATCAATCCCTAATTTTTATGTGACCCCCATGAAAACAAAAGTCCTGTTATCACCATAGGGGTCACTTAAAAATTAGGGATTGATGCCATTGATGGTGAAAACGGGCAAAATAATACATTAGTAATCTAGAACTAAGATGAGGATGTGGAAATTACGACCAAAAAAGGGGCGCCGAAATAAACCGGCTTCTAGGTATCTTGAACGAGAAAACTGTAGCTGTTTTTAAGCAGGTATAGTCTGGTCTGTGAGCACGTAGAATTTTGTCCAATGCGCGACTGTGCGACGGGCGCCCGCAGTGAGTGTGCGAGCACGACAGCAATATAATTACGCGCGAGCGATAAGGATGGGTAGCTTGGGGTCATTGGACAAAATTCTACGTGCTCACAGACCGGGCTTTAGCTGTTTATTCTGTACAATATTAATGTACCTACATCATGTATAAATCTATGAATCAGTAGATTCAGGATAATCTGCTCTACCTATTCAATCAAATGCTTGAATCTATTTAGAAATTTCAAATTCAACTGCTATTACTAATTACCTTACAATGGTAACAATAGACTTGAAAGCTTGCTAAATACCTATGTAAACAAAAACGGCATAATCGCAGGCCAATTAGAATATTACGTGCGTAATATGTACGTAATCACATAGCTTGGTAAATAATATTATTAATAACAGTAATTTGTGACTTAGCCAAGGCTCTAACAATAGAGTTGGAAGTCTTTACATAATTACAGCTATTTATGTAACAACATTATTTTAAAAAAAACTTATATTTGTGACATCATTCATTGTAAATGCAAGTAAGGCTGTACTAAAGTAATTGTCAGAATAACATCAACCTGTATGCATAATAAAATTGTAAATGCACAGAAAAACTTTAACATTTCTATTTTGTTTGACAATTGCAATTCTTCATTTGTTTTGCTTAATCACTAAAATCATTAAAGAAAGCTTCACCAACTCTAAAAATGTTTTTTTGTTGGTTTAATAATTCAATAAGAATAATACTCTACATTGTGGAATTTTGTAATGCCTCCTGGAGGGAAAGTACTCTTAATATTATAGATAGAAAATTTTACTCAAGAAAACATTCCTTTATTTTTGAAAAGAAATAGAACTGCATTCAAAGATTTCACTCTGTATATTTAACACAGGCTATCAACCCTTGAACCCGTAATAATATTTTAGCAAGTTTTGTTGCATCAGCTCTATACATTACAATTATTTCCACCAATCATTCCACCACAACTCCTGGAATGCCAAGATCTACAGCTTGAAATCCAGAAAGACATCAAAATAGTGAACTTACCTTTCCCAGCATAGTTTTGTAGGTAACAATTTTCTATATCCATCCCGGATGAAGGGATTGTGTTGCAGGTAATACGGAGCTTGCTCGTACTTGAGAAGCTGTCTATAGTTGAGGTACTCCAGGTCCTCTTTTGTCAAGTTATTGTTGTCTTCCAGTTTTTTACCCCGTCGGAGGAGTGTGCTGCCTGCACAAAACTGTTCTGGACTGCATTCATCTTCTACCTGTGGGAAAAATAGTTTGGTTTAGCATTTATTTGTTGTTTGTTTCAAAAGAACATAAAATATTTGGGTAATTGATACATTATTAATTATACAGGTCCATAAAAGATTACTTTATTTTACTTGACTAAAATATGCTTTTTTTTACTGTTTAGCATGGTTTTCTATTATGGTTTAAGAAGAAAGAAAGTAAAAAGTTAATGAATGTAAGTTATCAAGTTAAATAAAACACAAAAAAGACAGAACTTTTTTTTCTACAAATCTCATTATTTTATGGTTCTACCAGCTCTTCAAAACATTATTTTAGCAAATGCTAAAGCTTAATATACCTACACATTTAATTTTGTACAGTAATTTAAATAAAATCTTTTAGGCAATGACAAGGTCTCTTCTGACTGCAATCACCTGGCAGTTATGGAAAAACCCATCTTCATAAAAAGATGGGCTAGGCCCCATATTACCTACTCAATATTTATAAGATTTAAAGCTGAGGAGTGATAGTGAACAACCAGAACAACAATCTCTTCTTACAGCTGACCTACATCATGTACCATGTAGGCTACATGGAATTAGTGTCATACTGGTAAAATACTGCAACATAATGTATTTCTTTATGCAGTACACTAGGTAACTTATAACAAAGGATAATTACTTACTTTTTCTATAGGCATAAACTGTACAGTCTCCGCTTGGCATTCACTAACTTTTTTGGTCATAGTTAGACTCATTTTAAAATTTTTGGAACTATTAATTCTGTTTTAACCACAATTAATTTAAACTTTAATACATCTTTTCGTTATATTACAGCTTCTCATCAGAGCATTTCACATTATTTTATAAATTAAAGTTAATAATAACAATTGAAAATCACAGCACCATTTACTTTTCGAATATTCGACACCCACAAAAACCACCACTGACGTAGTACCTCATTGACAGAAAAAGCAAAACTGTTTTTTTTTTTCAACAAAACAAAACGTCAACGTCATTAATGAATGTCATGTTTTTTTTTAATGCAAGTTTACGGCTTCGGATTTCATGCATACAGCCAAATTTTTTTTTTGTAAAATAAATGAAAATATATGACTGCATGCATGAAATAATGTTAAATGATATTGAATTAGGTAGATTTCCTTAGGCCTTAGTTTATTTCAGTTATGATGTAGCGCTTTGAATTTTCATTAAAGCTTATCATACTTAGTTGAAATAACTAAAATCAAGGTGAAGAAAGAGAACACTTCTAATCTGGGCCCCGATTACGCTAAAAATTATCATCTTCAACGTGCCCGGACGTCAGCTATTTTGACAAATCCGTATCGCAGAATCGAAGAAATCTAAGAAGCACGTCTGAGCCCCGATTACGGTAACTTTTATAACGTCTACAATCCAGACGCGTTTCTGATTCTGCGATACGATTGGTCAAAACAACTGACGTACGCTGTTGAACGACCAATCGTATCGCAGAATCGAGAAGCGTGTCTGGATTGTTGACGTTAAAAATTACCGTAATCGGGGCTCTGTATTGGAGACGTTAAAAATTAGCGTAATCGGGGCACTGATAGCCAATGTTATACTGATGGCAATAGTTACCCAGATTGACCGTAATAGTTGGATATACAAATTTTACAAAATGAAACACAACAGCTGAAAAATCACTCTTAACTTTCCCGCCAGGAAGTTATGCGACGGAACCAAAACCAAACCAACGACAACAATTAGTTTCCTAATAGTGTAGAGTGTCGTGTCTTGGAATTAAACATTTTTTTAAATACTTTAATTAATTTTTTGTAAGCTAATTTTCCTACTAATATTGACAATGCGAAAGTTTGGTGGATGTCTGGATGTTTGTTACTCTTTCACGCAAAAACTACAGAACAGATTTTGATGAAACTTTACAGTATTATTGTTTATAACCCAGAACAGAATAACATATAGGCATAGTAGAGGAATTAGTCGTTAATTCCTCTATGCATATAGGCTATAATTTATGACAAACTAAATTTCACGCGGGTGAAGCCGCGGGCAAAAACTAGTACTTACGTACTTCTCTTCTTAGATAATGTTTTTTTAGCAATAAATAGGCTTTAGGATTTAGGCTAGGTACGTAGAGATGGGTTTCNTATTTACAGTGTTGCTCTCAATCTGCTCACTGCTATGCGATCCAAACCCAGATGACCCATTGGTGCCAGAAATCGCTAGGATCTACAAAACGGACAGAGAAAAGTACAATGAACTAGCCCGCGAGTGGACAAGGAAGTATGCCATGTGATGAGTCAATGGTGGACAGCAACATACACATCGCCACAGCCCGGGCTCTAACCCCTCCCCGTTCCTGCTCCCTGTTTTTTGAATTCCCCCCATGACCCAAATTTACCGATAATTGTATAAATATTCAATGTCACCTTAGAATCAATCTAACTTCAAGTCATTTCCTATAATTTTAAACTGGAATTATTGCATCTAAGTAAACACGGTACACATGTGCAAATATAGTTTCTGTTTTATCTAATAAGAACATTTTCTATAAGAGCAAAATTACTTTCTGTTAACATTGATGTGTCAGTAGATGTCATACAACTCATTTAGTTGAGGGTTAGTTAAATTTACATTTGAATTTATGTATTTCCTAAAGAATTTGTACTTTAACTAGATCTAAATTGCATTGTGAAACTGTACAATAGCCATATGTTTAGGAAATGGAGCGTTCCTTGCTTACCACTTGTCCGGTCACTTAGGAATTTTGTCGATGAAATGTAAGTAAAGCTCATAAGTGTTAAGAACATTTTGGGTAATGTAAGTAAGTGGTATTACAAAATGAGCTCGTTGACGGGAGTCGAGTGAGTGTTAATTTTTTTTACTAGAAAAACAACTTTTTTAAGTTAGTTAATGTAGCGTGCTACTAAGCAGACTGACATTAATTGATACGGTCAGTTTTCTTTCATCCACAATATTTTATAATGATGGAAAACGCTCCAATAGTTACAACATTCAGTATAAATTACAGTGTATCTCATAAGATGATAAGTTACGATTAATCTAGATTTTTTTCAATATGGCGATCTTTATATTATAATTTTATCTAATATATATTGTGGTTGTAAGGATATCTGCGTTGTGATTTTCACGAACGTCCTGTCCTGCTAGCCACCCTGTCCTCGCGTGTACGGAGAAGCTTGTCACTTGGTAACTCTGGGAGATATTTCAAATTTAAAGCTTATTCAAATTGTAATCAATCAACAACTTGTATTTTAGCTTCACTAAATTGTAAGAAACAATAAATTATTGTGTATGTAAATAACAAACCGAGCTTTATTTAGGCGACTTCCTGGGATTGTAGGCTGCCGCTCGTGCTGCGGTGAAAGTAGGCGCCGCCGACGCAACGCCTCTTCTGCCAAACTTTAGCTATTGTTTTATGGAGATATTTCCGTACTTTACGCATTCGTCTACACCGCTCACGACAGTTCACCAAGTAGGCTATATCTGAATTGTAAAGAAGCAGTTATGTCGATAGCTGATAATTATTCGTGTTTTTAGGTGTCTTGCATTTTGTTTGTATCTGTAAGCAAACTATCATTCCACAAGATTAATTCGAGATGCGCTATCTATTGATTTAGATATTTTTCTCTGTTTTTCTGAGCTGTAATGAGGCCGTCACATAGCTAATGACCTATTAGATATGTTTTGAATCGACATTTATGTAATACGTGATAAATAATAAAACAATTTTTAAATTAGCCACTAGCTTTTCTTGTTTAGAAATATGTGAAATGGAAATGCCATTTGTAGTGAACCCATCATAACTTTCACTGATATTTTTTTTCACACTCGTTTACTAAGTGCTGTTGTACCTACTTAGATTACTTGACTCACGTGAACTCCGACTTTTAGATATAAAAAATTCAGTTATCTTTACATACCTAATTGCATTACAGTATGGAGTGCTGTCGGATGTTTTATAGTGATTCGTGATATAATTCATGTTTCTTACATGCTCTCTTTATTACGTCATATCATAAGATAAAAACAAATCTTCAATTTCGCTAAGGTGACTTGTAATAAAAATGTTGAGTGGGCTTAATGAAATAAATTCAGCCCTCAAAAACCGAAAATAGAAAGTCAAGGTTAGCGCGGGGACAGCTGGCTATAATAAATCGCTCTTTTTACCGACTGTAATCTACTNAACTGGCATCGGTTCTGCTTCGATACACACTGATGGACAGACGTACTTATTGTTGCCCGCGGCACTAAAATATTCAGTGCAATCGACATAGTAGAGGCCGGCGTTATAAATGTATGAACTTCTCTGCTCCAGCTGAAATTAGGTTTGTAGTTTTCATCAAGGTTCGCAACTGAAAAGTTTCAGTAGTTGCGTCAACCGGACTAACAACCGAACTACTGCTAATACAGGGACGTAAGACATGCTACTGAAAGGGTAAGTACCAACATGCCTATTTGTCATTTACTTTATTATTGAAACTGAAAATCAACCCTTAATAAATTTATGCATTTTCATTCTTATTCGGATTAGTGACTATGCGTCGCTGCCATCTACATATTAGTGGTTTTCTAGATTTTAAACAGTCTAGTTAGAACTTGTTCGCAGGGTAGGATTAAGTAGGTATTTTGTACTAGTTTGAGTTACTTAGAATATTATTGTAATAGTGTGCATTAATTTTCTGGTAATTAAAGGTAAGTGTGTTCGTAGGGAGGTAAATAAATACTGTATTCATTTAGCGTAAGTAGATTCCCTTTTATCAATAGAACGAGCACCACTGAGGCAGAACATTATTGATTTTTATCGCGTCGTCGAATTAATTAAGGTACACACTAGCGCCATCTAGATCTGTATGTCGAGTTCCCAATATATTTTAGCCCATTTGAGGGGCGTTGTTAGAGTAGGCGCACAGCGCACACCGTTGATTTTTAGTTGGCCGATAGTTTAGCCCGATTTTAAATTGTATGAAGAATCGGCCAAATCGATTCGGCGTAGTGTGCGCACTCCCATACATGCCCATACTGATCAACTGCCCGACTAAACTATCGGGACGAAAAATCAACAGTGTGCGCCTACTCTTAATGGAGCAATATCTCTCTAACCGGGCATCGAACCCAGAACTGTCCTATTGGCGATTTGCTGCGTCACGCTTTTTTGGCACTATTTGAGCTTTCGAGTGCTGGACTCGTGTCTCATTAACTTCATTCATCATTTTCTCAATTTGGCACTGATCCAGACCACACAGCGAGTACTACAAATCACCAAGAGACATATTTTGAACGATTAAAATTCTAATTATACGAATCGTTCCAAACAACTTATACGAACGCCTAAAGAAAATATGCATTTTGTTTGCATACACGTCATACGTATGCTAATTTAGAATTAATAGTTAAAATTCTATTGCTTTCAAAATAAGTCTCATAGGTCAAGTCGTTTTTTTGTTACCTACATAAATAAAAATATACAAATAATTTTCTCTTTGTAATTGAAACTTACAGAGGTACATAATTTACAAAGGCACGTTACAAAGCTAATAAATTACATCTATTTTATAGTTCAGTCGTTTCCATGTTTTTAGCGTTCTTCATTTGTTCTAGTTGCTGGTAAAAGTCGTATTTGGCTTGGTTAGTCTGCGGTTCAGTTTGGTTGGAGTCTATGGAGGGAAAGGCTCCGGTTGTGATGAAGTATGGTTTCTCGTTGGACAGGTCTTGATCGACGGCGTTTTCGTCAAGCGAGTCTCTTTCCGAGTGGCTGAGCTGGTCGTCGGATTTGTACCAGTCGTTTTCGTACGCGTGGAGCCAGATAGGGTTGGAGCCTTTGGTGCTATGTTTATTCGTGTTTGGCACTCGTCCGCCAGAGCTGCGTATGGTCATGTCGGATTCTCCAGCGGTGGGGGTAGCTGCGAAAAAGAATTATTATTATAAGTAAAAACGATTACCGATTAATCATATTGGTATTTTATGTAGTTGTAGGGAAANTAGTATATAGGGAAAATTTAGCAATGAAAATGTAGATATGGTTAGATGTTCTGTAGTCTGTAATTAGAACTCGGTGCGATCACGAATAGAATGATGAATGGTTTTAGGATTTGCATTGACTTTGTAAAATTAATTAGGTAATTAAAAGTATTGAGGGCATTTTTTATGATGACCATTCATTATCGTGACCTTTACGCTGATGGAAATACGAAATACATAATGGAGTAGTGAATTCCGATTGGAACCTTGCTAAGAATAGATATCCAACTTGGATTGGAAGTTTTAGGGCCTCTGATAACTTATGCGGGTTCGTTCGTTTCTGTCGAATGACGTCCACTGCTGGACAAAGGCCTCCCCCAAGGATTTCCACTAAGACTGGTCCTGTGCCGCCCGCATCCAGGCACCCTCTGCGACCGTCACCAGATCGTCCGTCCACCTAGTGGGAAGCCGGCACACTACGTCTTCCGGCTCGTGGTCGCCACTCGAGAACTTTTCTGCCCCAGCGGCCATCAGCTCTGCGAGCTACGTGCCCCGCCCACTGTCACTTGATTTTAGTGATTCTGTGGGCTATGTCAGTCACTTTAGTTCTACTGCGGATCTCCTCATTTCTGATCATGCGGGTACAGCATTCCGATATCCATCCTAAAACGCCTTTAGGGTGGATAATCGGAATAAGTTATAGTAGGCGGTGGCGGTGGCGGCCTTGAGGTGGCGCGCTGGGAGAGACACGTCAGCAGCGCCAGTAATGACACAGCCTGTCCAGTGTTGTGACCTCTAATGAGGTCAGTGGTTAGTATCACAGAATAATAATAAGTACTACCAGGCCTGTTCATCTCCGCGAGTTTACATCGAAAACAAAACACGTACGATGGCCCACCTACAGGATACTATTCGACAAGGCCTCACATACGAGCGAACATTGACTCACGCACGCGTATTCTTGTGTATGATGGAAGAAAATAAAGAAAATGGTGTACTAAATACTGTGCAGTATTTAACTGCCTAAATAATAATAAAAACACAGAATGTACCTACTTTTTTAAGCTGCCTCAAGACACTGAGAGGTAAATAAGTAGTTAATATTATTCATGATAATTCATGCTAAATCATGTATTTCCTCCGCCATTTTCCGCAGTTTGGCACCTCACGTCACATCATTTTACCGAAGTCAGCCCTATAGCTTCAAGCTTTAACAGGTTTTCTTCGCGAAGGTATTTAAAAAAAATTATGCTTAATGTCGTCAACAATATGGTGTAATTTAGCTTGTCTCAAGAGTCGAGCACCGTTTTGTTGACATACGTCAGTGATCGGTACTGCGCCGATGCCATAAGGCTGGCTAACTTCGGTAAAATAATGTGTTACGTGAAGTGCCAAACTGCGGAATATGGCGGAGGCAATACATGACTAAGCATGCAATATATTTTGTGTTTCTATTATTATTCAGGCAGTTAAAATACTGCACAGTATTTTACACCACCGTTTTTTTTCTTTTTTCTATCATACATAGTTTATTGTCTTTACAATGCAAATGGGTGAAGAATACACGTGCGTGCGTCAATGCTCGCTCGTGATTGTCCTGTCAGCGATTAGATATCTCAGGAAGTGTAGTCGCGCGTGTTTTGTTTTCGATGCAAACTCGCGGAGATGAACAGGCCTGTTAGTACTCACAGTAGGCGGTGGCGGTGGCGGCTTTGAGCCGGCGCGCTGAGAGAGACACGTGAGCAGCGCCAGGAGCAGCAGTACAGCCAGCAGCAGCGTGCTCCACACCAGCCAGAACACCGCCTGGTTGGCCGCCTGGTCAGTGTTTATAGAGGCCAGTGGTGACTCACAGAAGGCGGTGGCGGTAGCGGTAGCGGCCTAAAGTCGGCGCGGTGCGAGAGACACGTCAGCAGCGCCTGTAATGACACAGCCTATCCTGTGTTTAGAAGTCAGTGGTTAGTGACTCACAGTAGGCGGTGGCGGTGGCGGCCTTAAGCCGGCGCGCGTAGGCAGCCCGCTGGGAGAGGCACGTGAGCAGCGCCAGGAGCAGCAGTACAGCCAGCAGCAGCGTGCTCCACACCAGCCAGAACTGGTTGGCCGTCTGTCTAGTGTTTATTAGGGAGATGCCGCACCGCAAACATTTTGCCGCATCACTGTACACATGGTGGCATGCGGCGCCGCAACGGCACCGTCTCACTCAATCGAAGTGTGGAGTGCCTGCGGTGCGGCGCCGGAACGCACCGTGTGGCTTTCCCCTAAGAGGTCAGTGGTGACTCACTGTAGGCGGTGGCGGTAGCGGCCTAAAGTCGGCGTGCTGGGAGAGGCACATCAGCAGCGCCAGTAATGACACAGCCTGTCCAGTATTTATTGAGGCCAGTGGTGACTCACAGTAGGCGGTGGCGGTGGCGGTGGCGGTAGCGGCCTAAAGTCGGCGCGCTGGGAGAAGCACGTCAGCAGCGCCAGAAATGATGCAGCCTGTCCAGTATTTATAAAGGCCAGTGGTGACTCACAGTAGGCGGTGGCGGTGGAGGCTTTGAGCCTGGTTAGTGACTTACAGTAGGCGGTGGCGGTAGCGGCCTAAAGTCGGCGCGCTGGGAGAAAACTGAAAATGGCTCTAGATTTGTAATTTTGATAAAGACAAGTTAGATTTCAAATAAAAACAAAAGATTTCGAAGTAAAATAAGCATTTTAGTTAAAATTAAAATTGTCTCTACCTGTAGCGGATAATAATGTTGTGGCAGGCCTTTGTTCAAACGATCATAGCAAATGTTGTGATAGGTATAGAGACATGCGATTTTTGGTTTTACAAAGATAATACGATAGAGAATAATACAAAGTAATAAAAACCACCTGTTATAGGGGCATTTTTTGGAGAAATTTATCAAATAACCAAAATAATACGAATTTTTAAGCAGATTTTTTTCAAAAAGTATCATTTTTTATTATTTGTTGGCATTTTCTGGGTATTTTATGTATTTTTTCAGTATCGCCTGTTACTTAGCATTATTACTGTTTTTATTTTATCAGGATATACCGCTTAGTTTAAAAGTTATTAAGTTTTCTTTACAATAAGTAATTGGAAGAAAAAAAAATCCATAATTTTTTTTTAAAAAATCTCAAAAAAAATTTGACCTCTTTTTTGTCGATAAAAATAGGTCTAGTTTCATCTATTTTCATATGTACACTTTAACGTGACTCACACTGTATAAAATAACCATTTATTTATTACTAAATTAACCGCCAAAAAAGAACCAAAATATTTTACTGTACTTACTTTTGCAACTGTTCTTAAAACGATAATTTTTAATTTATCCTTTTTTTCAACAGTGCACACCGAACAACAGTGTAGAGCCCCGCAACCCAGAGGAAGAGAAACTACTGAAATAGTAGAAAACATAAAAGTTGGCAACATTAATTTACCATTATGACAAAGTAGCATAGGTTTGCGCAGCATGAACACAAAAAAAAACAACTTATCATACTTAAAATCCAGTGTTGATTATAACAATACTCTACTATAAAATATCCAGAATGCAATACGGTCTTCCAAATAAAAGGAAAAATACAAATTATGGTCACACTGTCTTCTTAAAAGGGAAGTGAGCCAACTGTTTCAATATACGCAATTATTAAACGCATGTTATTTTATACTAGTTACTTAAGAATAGTATTTTAATAGTTTTATAGTATTTAATAAAGCATTTGTTGCTATTTTTAACAATTAGGTGTAACGTAGAGGTTTTACGCATTAGTACTTATTTCGTTTTGAATGTGGCAACATTGTTTTTCGCGCCAAAGTGTGACGTTTGGATAGTGGTGGGCAATTGTGAATTGAGAACTTAATTGAATTAATTAATCGATTATTTGCTATCTTTAAACTCTTTTGATGCTTTCTATTGTAATAATAATAATATTTAAAATAAAACGTCACTATTATTGTTTATTATCTAAACCTTATAATTTTAATCGATTATTTTTAATAACACAATCTAATTGTTTTACTACGTTTATAATCGTCCACTACTATTTATAACCGATTTAAAATTAATTTAAAGTAGTATGAAATTTTTTTAAAAACTTATCTTGACATCAAGATATTGCCCTATATTTGAAAATTTGGATGAAATGTAGATTTTACCATTTTGTACTTATTTATTTAGTTTTTCAATTAATTGAAAATTCACTACTTACATGCCTATTTTATTTTGTAAAAAATAAGTCAACTTTACACTAATTTGTATCCGTGCTATTTTGATTTCCTATTTTTATTTTTTAATTTGAATTTGTAATCGAATAATAAAATCAAAAGTTTTCAATAAGTTTTGTTATTTTACTTTTCTATTCAGTTAAATTAACTGTCTTCTTTAATATTATTTCGCAGACGAATATGCACAAATTTAATCGATTTCAATATTGATAACATGTGTACATCCATCACTAGTTCATATTTTTTTTTAACATTTTGTTTGGCGGCTCTGCCAACCGTGCATTATGTTAATTGCTTGTTTCGTAGTCACTTATACAAAGCCTAAAAATATCCTACGCATTTCTATTACTATAGTTAACTGCCAATAGAAATAAGATAATGAAAGATGATCCTATACTTAATCCTATATCACTATTAAAAATCACATGTGCCTTAAAATCATAGGTAGGTGCTATAAAATATTCGTATTTAAGAGTATTTTACAAAACTGGTTCTTTTCCTAAAACATTGTAAAATTAGGCCAAAAATTGGCAAACATCACAAACTATGTAGAATTACGTAAATATAAATAATAATTATGAATAATATTTTTGTATAGTTGATACGCAAATCGTAATTTTTGAATGAATTTATATTATTAACGTGTTTTCAGTTTTTCAGTCTGTAGACGTTAGGCTGGAGAAAGTATGTCTAATTGTTGCAAAGTATAAAGTTTGTTTACATGAATAAAGTAAC